ATTATTTACTCTTCGCTCACTCCTGCTTCATATTCCCTCGTCCAGAATCCAGCACCTCCGTCTGAGCCTCTTGTGTATACATGTGCAAGATGCTCACGTATATACCAAGATGCACATCACCGTTTGCAATGGAAGAAAGCTAAAGAGGTTAATTAAAATAACATCTTGGGAACAAATTCTATGGAGACAAGTCCATAGGTAGTGGTACTCTAGCCAGGAACCAATATTTTTTGATCTCCAATGTAGTCCTTTCATGCTTGTTATCTGGATGTCATGTGATGAGAAATAGCCATGCACCGATCATACATGTTCTATCTGTTTGAGAATGGAACAAAGGTATGTACGCACATGCAAGGGGTAGTACTTACATGAGAGCAATTTGAGAGAATCGATCAACACCTGCCTCAGTTGCTAGTTTCTGATGGCGTTGGGTAGGTTGCAGTGCAAACCAGGCTAGCAGTACTTCCAGCCCTGTGACGTCTTCGTTTCAGTTTTATCAATCCCTCAATTGGCGCCCATACCAAGAGAGAAGGGTGGGATGGTGCGATCCTAGAACTTGACAAATTTTCCTATGTAGAACTTGCAGAGCAATTAGGTGGTCTGTTGTTTTTACTTGCTCCTATATTTAGTACGTGAACATGAAAGGCTAGGTTAAGTGTTGTCAGCATGAATTAACATAAAAAACTGGCGCTTAAAAGGATGTACCACTCAAGAATACAGAAACAATTTTGAAGTACAAACATAGTGGCCTATTTCCAAAGCATATGTGCCAGCAAACAGACCTGGACTTCAGCACATCGATCAACTGGCCATAGCGAACCAATTGTAGGAGGTCCAGGAGCTGCAGTATAATGAGGCCCATACGTGCTGATGTGAGAAGGATCCTAAAGCAGTTCCATATTTGCTGAAGAAGAAGCAGGTTAAGCTCCACGGTCTGAGCAGCAATATCCCTAGGCGAGTAGTGGCGCGGCAAGGAGGGTGCTGGAGAGCATGGGAGCTGAAAGGAGAGGATGGCATGATGCGGCGGCGGTAGGCTAGTAAACCTCATGGGACGTGAGGATAGAATAGTACGTATAAGGTTAGGTTGCACTATTATTTTCTTCCCTAGAGTTTATTCTGTGTAAGGGAGGCGGACACTTGATCTACTGATGTGTTTCAAGCCAAGGCTGTCGTGTACATGCGTGTATCTTGTCCTTTCTTCTTTTTTTCTTTTTTTTGTTCAGTTTTTTTTAACTGAGGTATGTTTTGTGTTGTTGATTGATTGGTGATTATGGGAGAATTGAAGCAGCACATGTTTCTACATACTGGCAATGGTGGGAATTTAGAGAAATTTACCTTTAAAGTAAATCCAACGGTTGTGATTTTCTGATTTACATAATTAAAGGCTAGATATTTCTAATTATTATGGAATTCTCTAGCATATTTATCTTTTTTTGTTAGCCGGTAACCCAGACGACTTGTCATTCAGACAAAGCCTTTGGATTAGGGAAACGTTTCCAGCCGGCAGTCCGGCCGAGTCTTCGGCCGGACGCGCGCGCTTCGTTCGATTGCGCTGTATCCTGCGGCCCCGCGTGCCCCTCGTTTGACTAATTGCCTCAGCCCACCACCAATCGTTTCTTTTTTCTTTCTCCCGTTTCCTTTCTTCTTCCTCTTATTCCTTTTTCTTCTCACTCCTGCGCAGGAGGATGGCGAGGCGCATGTTGCTTGTGACAGATTTTTGGACTTTCCATGCTGCAGCCACGTCCTGTGGAGCTACGACTCGAACGATTTTCGTTGCCTCCTCTTCCCCTCGTTGCTGATGGTGCAGCAGTCGCCATGGATGCGCTCATAGACAACTTTTTTTTATGGAGTGTTGCAACCAGCCCCGGGAGATGCTACATCCGGTGGCGAGGGATGTTACAACCGACAAGTTTTTTTGTTGGAACCAACCAAAGGTTCTGTCGCTGATTTTTTTTTTGGCTGGAACCAGTGTCTTGTTTTGCTACTACCGGCGGCTTCATTTGCTACTACCGGCGACAACGTTTTTTTGCGACATAATTCATGAAGATGATGCAACCTCGACGACGGGTGACAACATTTTTTTGCTGCAAACTATGAAGTTTTTCGCTACCACCGGCTATAGGGTTTGTTACCACCATACACAGCGGCCGGCCGGCATTTTTCTTTTGTGTTTTGCTACAACCACGTCATTTTTTGTTGCAGTGGGCAACCACAGAAGCTACATCGGGTTAACATTTTTGCTACAATGACGATGGCGGGCTGTAGCGGTAAGCTTTTTTGCTGGAAGTGATAAACTTTTTTGCTACAACAGGTATGGTTTTTTTTTGGAACCAGCAAGAGCCTCGGGAGGGCACACGGCGAGGTACAACGCGACCACAACGACAGGTGCTGCGGTCGGCGGCCGGCGTTACCGGAGATGCGGCCATGTCCCCCGAAGCCGGAGCTGCAAGCCTGCAACCACAAGTGCATGTTGTTGCATGCATGAAGCCGATGAGAAACGCAGGCGGCGAGGGTGGCGACCGGCGGTGGCCGACGGCGAGGGCGGCCACCAGCGGCGAGGGTGGCGACCGGCGGCGGTTCTTCAAAGTTTTGCTACATCGATCGTCCATGGCTAGTGTTGGCGGCGGCGCTACTTTGTTTTCCCCTCTGCTGTTTGGTTGAATCCGTTTAATTGGAAAGAAAACGATTCCAGATCTAACGGTTAAATGCAATCTAATCAAAAGGCCGCGCTGTGTCCGGCCGAATTGATTGCGCCGGTGCACCGGCGCAGATTAGTCGCCTTTGGATTATTACCATGATATATAATAATAAGAGGAAATTTAGGTTCATACTATAGCCAAACAATGTGCCAAATTAAAATTTAAACAGTGGGGATATTTGATCAGTAAACTAAATTTTAAATATAAATTATTAGGCACTAATATTAAGCATTAGAGGAGTATATCAGACATGGTCATGTAATTAGTTTCCAAAGTGTATACATACGTGATGTTCCTTTTTTTTCTATTTTCCAAGTGCATGAACGTACGTGTGTGTATTCTTTTTTTTGTAAGATTTGACACATATCTTTCCTAGGACAACACGTTCCTTGTTTTTTTCTAACTTAACAGGTTTCTTGTTTTTTTTTAACTTAACATGTTCCTTTTTTCTTTGAAGTCAACTTAACACGTTCCTTGTTTTTGTAAGGAAGAGTCCGACTTCTTCTTGATTATTTTTCTAACTTAACAAGTTTTTTTTTGATGAGGAAACAAAGTGGCCTCCAGATGTATATTTTTTCAACGGGGTGGAGCCAGGGAGCACGTTGTTCGCACACGAACACGTCACATGTACCCTCAACGCCAGGGGTGATGCACCGCAACTCACGTCGAAGGAGACCCGACCGACAGGGCGATACGCAAGACAGTCGGCGGGCGCTTTTGCAGACCCGAAACCCCACGCACCCGAGAGGGACCCCATCAGGGATTGCGGCGGCTATGGGCTGCCCTAGGTCGATTCGCTAGCTCGGCCCTAGAGCCTCGTGGATCCGCAGCCCTCCAGCATGAAGAACTAGCGAAGAACGAGAAGAAAGATACAAGGGAGAGATAAAAAGTAGATGAACACGAAAAAGTAGTAGATGTGTTTGTTCGATTGTGTGTTGTTTCAATCGGCCATCACCGCCAACATATATAAGAGGCGGCTGGACTTCCCGTACAAGCAAAGAATTTATCTAGGCTTTCCTTACAAGAAAATTACATCAATTCACGTCCAAAACCACAGTCAAATTCGGACTGGTTTATCCGAACTTTCCAAAATTGTTCGGTTTAAACTGGCTGCACATTGCGGGTCTTTTTTGCGGTGGTAAACGATCCCGGATGAAAACAAGCCCAAAAGCAATCTTGACCGTTTCGACGAGACGAACAACTTTCATGTTGAAGGTTTTTTTTTATCAGAGATCATCTTGAGGGTCAGATCGGTCTCGCAACACAGGCTATTTCCTCGCGCTACCCGTCAGACATGTGTCTGGTGGGGCACGCCACATCTCGCCTCGTGACAGGGCTGCACTCCGATTGCTCTAACTTTTGCATACGAACTCGAATTTGAACGATTTTTATATCAAAATCGATCGTTTCGACGAGGCGAAGACAACCCGTGTAGATCATTTTTCCATCGGAGATCATCTGAATAACCTTTTGAGCCCATCTTCAACTTCTCGTTCGATTGACTATCACAGCCTCCAACCCGGCAAGTTTTCCATCCGAGTAAGCTTTCCACACTGGCAATGTTTCTACCCGGCAAGCTTTCACACCGGCAAGCTTTCACTCCGGCAAGGGTTCCTCCCTGACAAGGTTTCTCCCCCGGCAAGATTTCACACCGGCAAGCACCGGCGATCTTTCTGTGCCGGCAAGCTTTCCACGCCGGCAAGCCTTCACACCGGCAAGCTTTCACACTGGCAAGATTTTACCCCGGCAAGGTTTTTGCCCCGGCATGCTGTTTATGATCGTGCCACTTTTAAGCATCAACACACGTACGTGAGAAATTCTCATCCTTTTCCCGTTTACATGTATGTGTTTTTCTTAGTTGGTGTATGTACGTAAGTTCTCTTTTTAAAGAGGCCCACCATTTACCAAATATATTTTCTTTAACATATGTGCGTTCAGATGTGTCACGTACAGTCGTTGGAGGCCCAGAGCATTATATATGTTACATAAATCTAACGGTCAAGATAATTCTATTTGTTAAGATTTACCAGATCGGGGGCTAGTAATTTCTAATTAACGTGCAATTTTCTAGCATATTTACCTTGCTCCTGGTTCACCTTATATTACTTTTAATATATAAATAGATGCAACATAAATATGTAGACAAGACCTGTGTTTGTCTTTTATTCCCAAGTTTGAACTAGTATAGTTCGGGTTCTTACATGATAGTGCATGTCACATTATTTTTTCACCGCTACAACGACCAAACCATGGACTAAGAAAACGGTGTTTCATATATCTAGTACTAGAGTTATTTTCTTCTCAATTAGTACCAAAGATGCCAAATGGCGCGATGGTGCAATATGGAGGGATGTAGACATTGCACATTGCAGGTAGCGTCTGTAGCGCTAGGTTCCTTATTTCCTCGAACTGGGGCAGTTGTTGAGGCTGGACAGAGCCCTGGGCCTGTGGGTTTTGCTGAGATGGCCGGAAGGAGCCCTGGCCTAATGGATATTGTTGCTGAGGCTGTTGGAAGGAGACCTGGCTCGATAGTTGTTGTTGTTGTTTTTGTTGTTGATGCAGAATAATAGCATGAACAACATTGTGGATGGCCTGGCACTGCAACTGCTCAGGGATCTGCCATAGGTGCTGACAACACAATTCTTGCAACAGCTGGTAAGTACTTTGTTGCAAAACTTGTGATCTTCCATGCGCTATGTTGTGTTGCTGCAATACAACATCCATGCATGGAATCAGTTGTTGTTGCAAAATTTGTTGAAGGATTTGTTGTTCTTGTTGTTGTTGTTGTTGTTGTTGTTGTTGCTGCTGCTGCTGCTGCTGCTGTGAAATTGGTTGTTGTGGTTGCGAATACTGTGGTTGCGGTTGTGGATATGGTTGTTGTGGTCGAAATGGTTGTGGATGCGAATATGGTAGTTGCGGCTGCGGAAATGGTTGCAGCTGCAGATATGGTTGTTGTGATGGAAATGGTTGCGGCTGTGGATATGGTTGTTGTGGTGGAAATGGTTGTTGCTGCCCTAGAAATTGTTGTTGTTGTACCAATGGAACTTGCTCTTGTGGCTGTTGCTGAGATGGATTTTGTGGCTGCAATTGTGGCACTGGAACTCTAACTGCAGTTGTGGTGGTGGTCGCCACGATGGCAAGGAGGGCAAGGATGAGAAATGTCTTCATGGTGGATTTGTATTGACCACAGCTTGCTTGGCTTAAATGATGCGCTCTACTTAGGAGAATGATGGATGAGGAAGGATGATCGTCATGCTACGGGGCTATTTATAGCTGCCATGGAATGATCTCTTTCACAATTGGCATTTGTTTGTGTGGAAAGTGCTTGGATGCTTCTCAAAATCATCATTTGGTATGTTCTGTTTGGTGGCACTACTTACAAGTGTATTCTTGGACTGTTCATTAAAGTTCCTTGTTGTTGCACTATCATTCCACCACCAAAAAGGTGTGATAACACGCATGACTCATATTATTCACTTTACAGCTCAAACACTAATCTAGATTGCCTATTTTTCTAAAACTAAGTTTGTAATTTTCTGCAAATTGTTACGCATAAACTAGATAAGCATGGCTGTCACGGTACTTAGTTTGTAGTCTTGTGTGGTCTGTTAAGATAGATAGAAGAATAGTAATGTAACTTGCGTTAGTAGGCCATGACTCGTCAAATTCCTTTTACATGTCAAGTGTTGTAGTGTTCTAGAAGTTATTAGCAAGCATAAACATGTTCTACAAGTTGTTACGTGTAAACTAGATAAGCTTGACTTGTACACAAACAAGATTGTAATCACTAGTCATCTACCCGTGCAACTGCAAGGCCTAGCTATTATAGGGGTACATATTTATTAATCAATATTTATATGTAAAATTCAAGCGCTTAAATTATAGATATCATACATCTGAACATATGCTAAGTTATTCAAACAATTATAGTACAATATAAGCACATATATTATAAACTTCATTATATGGAAGAGTGCCTCTACTTCCCATTTATATAAAAAAATATGAACATCTACAATACCAAAACTATATAGTATGGAAATACATTTCATGAGGCATCTGGTAATAATTATTTCATATTGTGAATGTTGATATTTTTTATTATAAAGTTAGTTAAAATTTGCAAATCTTGACTTTGACCAAACTTTATATGCAGACTAAAAATAAATGGCGGGAGTATCTTGGGGTCCGTGCCACGTCACGTTTCTCATACATTCAGTACGCGTGTCGCCCCGAACGAGTGGAGACTGCATCGTCACCTTATCCTTTCCCTGCAGGCTCAAGTCTGCTTCTTCCGAATCTTTCAATTCTAATCAAAGGAGAGTGAGGCGAGATGGTCGGGCTGCTCTTCGTCGGGGACATCGTCGTGTACTTGCGCGCACCAATGGCCAGCTCTCGCCGGGATTCACCCTGTGCCCATGTACAAGCGCCTTCCAGAAGCCATCCGAGTGGCGGCCCTGCAACGCTCGCGCGGAGGTCCCAAATTAGGAGGTGGACGAGGCTGTGCAGCTCGCGGCTAAGCTGCTCTTCGCCGGGGTCGCCGTCGTCTCCATGCGCCACACGGGAAGGAAGTTGGTCACCAAGTTCCCGGGGACTCGCCGCGCACCCAGGTACTCCGCCGCCTCCCCAGTAGTTGTCTGAGAGGCGGCCCGCGATGCGCGAAAGTGTGTCCCAAATTTCAGACCCCCCCAGCACTGATGTGGTCTCCCTTACCCATGTTGCAGCGACTGTGCTATCGCATCAGGGACTGATACCGACATGCAGACCGGCGATGAGACTGAGACCGGCGCCGAGACTAGCGGAGCTGGTCTAGAATCCAAAGCAAAGAGGCCACGGCACCCAAACCAGCTCATGAGTACTAGACTGGTGGTCACGGAGATGGACAACGGTATTTTTGAGACAATAGCGCCCGAGGAAGCGCAATCGTGCTACGGCAATCAAATAGGTTGCATCGTACAGACAACTGCCATGATCAATGATGGGAAACTACAGAAGATAGATAATATGAGGCCCTCCCTTCTAAAGAAGCTGCACCAGATATTCTTGTACCCTGACCGCAATGAAAAGGATAGTAAAGATCCAGATAAGGAGCTGGCAATGAAGAAGATAAACAAACACGCCATGCCCAAGTTTAGCAACGCGTTGGCCTCCTGGAAAACAAGGTTGAAACATCGGATCGTCGACAAAAAGGAACCCTTGCTACCTCTTGAGCACTGCGTTGGTTTTCCCCGAAGAGGAAGGGATGATGCAGCAAAGTAGGGTAAGTATTTCCCTCAGGTTTTGAGAACCAAGGTATCAATCCAGTAGGAGGCTACGCGCGAGTCCCTCGTACCTGCACAAAACAAATAAATCCTCGCAACCAACACGAATAGGGGTTGTCAATCCCTACACGGCCACTTACGAGAGTGAGATTTGATAGATATGATAAAGATAATTTTATTGGTATTTTTGTGAAAGCCAATAAAATAAAGGCAAAGTAAAAAGCAAAGGAAATAACTAAGTAGTAGGAGATTAATATGATAAAGATAGACCCGGGGCCATAGGTTTCACTAGTGGCTTCCCTCGAGAGCATAAGTATTCTACGGTGGGTGAACAAATTACTAGTGAGCAATTGACAGAATTGAGCATAGTTATGAGAATATCTAGGTATCATCATGTATATAGGCATCACGTCCGAGACAAGTAGACCGCTCCTGCCTACATCTACTACTATTACTCCACTCATCGACCGCTATCCAGCATGCATCTAGAGTATTAAGTTAAAAACAGATTAACGCCTTAAGCAAGATAACATGATGTAGAGGGATAGACTCATGAAATATGATGAAAACCCCATCTTGTTGTCCTCGATGGCAACAGTACAATACGTGCCTTGCTGCCCCTACTGTCACTGGGAAAGGACACCGCAAGATTGAACCCAAAGCTAAGCACTTCTCCCATTTCAAGAAAGATCAATCTAGTAGGCCAAACCAAACTGATAATTCGAAGAGACTTGCAAAGATAACCAATCATACATAAAATAATTGAAAGAAGATTGAAATATTATTCATAGATAGACTTGATCATAAACCCACAATTCATCGGTCTCAACAAACACACCGCAAAAAGAAGATTACATCGAATAATTCTCCACAAGAGAGGGGGAGAACATTGTATTTAGATCCAAAAAGAGAGAAGAAGCCATCTAGCTAATAACTGTGGACCCGTAGGTCTGAGGTGAACTACTCACACTTCATCGGAGAGGTTATGGTGTTGATGTAGAAGCCCTCCGTGATCGATGCCCCCTCCGGCGGAGCTCCGGAACAGGCCCCAAGATGGGATCTCGTGGATACAGAAAGTTGCAGCGGTGGAATTTGGGTTTTGGCTCCGTATATGATCGTTTGGTGGTACGTAGGTATATATAGGAGGAAGGAGTACGCCGGTGGAGCAACAGGGGGCCCATGAGGGTGGAGGGCGCGCACGGGGGGGGGGGTGTGGGTAGGCACGCCCTCTACCTCGTGGCCTCCTCTTTTGTGTCTTGACGGAGGGTCCAAGTCTCCTGGGTCTTGTTCGTTGAGAAAGTCACGTTCCCGAAGGTTTCATTCCGTTTGGACTCCGTTTGATATTCCTTTTCTTTGAAACCCTAAAACAGGCAAAAAAACAGCAAATCTGGGCAATATTGTCCAAAACAGTAGATAATAGGTTAATAGGTTAGTCCCAATAATAATATAAAAGTGGATAATAAAGCCCAATATTGTGCAAAATAGTAGATAATATAGCATGGAGCAATCAAAAATTATAGATACGTTGGAGACGTATCAAGCATCCCCAAGCTTAATTCCTGCTCGTCCTCGAGTAGGTAAATGATAAAAACAGAATTTTTGATGCGGAGTGCTAGTTGGCATGATTTTAATGTAATTCTTCTTAATTGTGGTATGAATATTCAGATCCGAAAGATTCAAGACAAAAGTTCATATTGACATAAAAATAATAATGCTTCACGCATACTAACTGAGCAATTATGTCTTCTCAAAATAACATGGCCAAAGAAAGTTCATCCCTACAAAATCATATAGTTTATTCATGCTTCATTTTCGTCACACAAGAATGCTCTCATCATGCACAACCCCGATGACAAGCCAAGCAATTGTTTCATACTTTAGTAATCTCAAACCTATAAACTTTCATGCAATATATGATTGCAAGCCATGGACATAACACTATGGGTGGAATAGAATATAATGACTGGGGTTATGTGGAGAAGACAAAAAGGAGAAAGTCTCACATCAACGAGGCTAATCAATGGGCTATGGAGATGCCCATCGATTGATGTTAATGCAAGTAGTAGGGATTGCCATGCAACGGATGCACTAGAGCTATAAATGTATGAAAGCTCAACAAAAGAAACTAAGTGGGTGTGCATCCAACTTGCTTGCTCACGAAGACCTAGGGCACTTGAGGAGGCCCATTGTTGGAATATACAAGCCAAGTTCTATAATGAAAAATTCCCACTAGTATATGAAAGTGACAAATCAAGATAC